TAATTATAATAATGATTTTTTTTTCATAGAAGTGTCTCTTTCAGTAGTATAATTTTTAAAGCTTTCAAAAATGTCAAGCTTACTCAGTAGAGCTGCATATTTTTTAGAGATATAGAAAAAATAACATGGGATGCATAAGCTTAGGGAAAGAAAGAGATTGAGGGCGTGGTTGGCAAAGTTAAAGCTTCTGAGATAATTTATACAGACGAAGTCACGTCTAGCTCTTCACCTAGTCTGGTCCTCTGGTTTAGTAGAGACTCGAGTTTTTTTTCACAATTAATAAAGAGATTCGCGATGCATTACCAAATCACCTTTCTATGCTGCCATGTGATTGAGAGAATTCTTTATGGGCCTCACTTTAGTCTGTAGCACTTTCATTCAAAGCGCGTGCCAGCACAGGCTTGGATAGGAGCATCAATTGGTCGACAGCGTGGCGCCGTCATTCGATTTGATTTATGCCGAATGACACTTTGGGGCTGCCGTCATGTCGTTAATGAGATGCAAATGCTCTAACCGCATTTTATTTATGAAACGCAAATTGTCACGCGCCGCGCTGAGGCCTGTTGCGGCCGTAAGAAAATACGCGCAAGTTGCAAACCTTAATTCACAAATTGCGTATACGCACGGGTGCCGCATGTGTTTAAGCACCGCCCAGGCCTAAATATGCGGGCATGTATGTCACTGAGCTTTACAAATACACACACGCACAACAAAGTGCTTTCTTGTGTGTGTGTGTGTGTGTGCATGGGGCCTCTGTGTGTCGAGCTGATAAATAAATGTCGCACGCAAGTCGCTGTAAAGATTATCATTTATAAAGAGCATAAGGGCTACGAAACCCGCGTGGCACTCGGACCGCCAGAGAGCCGGATAGTCCGAAAGAGAGAGAGAGAGAGAGAGAGAGAGAGAGAGGTGAAAGGCGACAAGCTTGAAGCAAGTGAAGCCATACGTAGGTGCACGCTTGGGCACACTTCAGGCTCGATGGCTCGCCGCTTTTTTTTACGCGTACGTGGGCACATTTGACCGTTGGGTCGACGTGCCGTATACGTAATGTGCCCACGCACACACACCCACACACACATGGACATGGATATGGACGACATTGAAAACATGCGTGTGTGCCTGTTTGTATAGGTAGTGATATGTCATGTGCGCTCATTTCTTTCCTCTTCTTCATTATTTTTTTCTTTTTTTTTTTGGCTTTGTCAACGACTATTTAGTGCAGAAAATGCGTAAATTATTTACATAGGGCAATGCTGTAAAAGCATTTAGTGCTGGGAGCAAGCAGCGGCCATGCCCACCCATCCGATGATGATGCTGATGGTGGTCGACAGCAAATGACATGGCAAGGTCGTCAGCAAGGTCGCATCTTTTATGCTTGTGGCACGCGCTGCACAATTGGTCAGCCGGGCAGCTGGACAGCCAGCCCTGGGGCGGACTGAAAATCTTAATTAAACCATAAAAATTAAAGATTTATGAAATGATTTTTCAGTCGACTGCAATCGCCGTGCAGCAGCAGCGCAAGGGACAGATGCGAATAAAATGCTTGACAATAAAGCCAACTTAGCTCGGAAGCCACCAGCCGCCTGCCGCCTGCCGCCCCACTGTCTGACAATTTAAAGCCACTTGATTTGGTGTGCGTGCCTAATGCTTGGATTCTCTGGCCGGGACTCAAGCGTTTGGTAATCCAAGCCTCTTGTGCGCTTGCCACTCGACGTTTTAGCTATTCATTAGTGCGCTCGGTGGGTTAACGTTGAATAGTAGTTCAACTAGAGACACCAGGCCGTCCTACACTACCGACACTACCGAACAACCTCAGCACCCCACCACCCGACCGACCGACCAGTCGTTCAGTTAGCTGAGTCAGGCTTACCGCAAATAATAAAATTTCTGCGTGGTAGGCAGTCGTAGAGAACGTGAAACAGGCAGGAGCGGGCGTGAGCGGGCGGCTGGAAGCTCTAAAGACCAAACGAGCCACTTGAATGTATTGCCGCCTTGCCCCGCACACACTGGGCCCCACAAGAGTATTCCGTTTACACATATATAACAAAATATTAATGACTGTTAGGGCTTTCCCTTTTACTTCAAGTGAATTTCAAGCAGATGACCATTTAAAAGATTTGCGTATTGTGCTTTCAGATTCAAAGCAGGCTCCAACGAGATTTCGTAGCATTTTAAATGGTTTATTTGAACAGCCTGAGTACCCTAATTGCTGTACTCACTTTCTGAAATCCTCCATCTGCTTATCCCTTATCTTGCAGGTGAGCGACTCATACAATATGCCAGCGAGAACCTAGTGACGGAGGTGCTCATACATCCGCAATACAATACGCTTATACAATGCATGCGTAATCTACTCAGTAGTTTTACGAGGCATCGGCATATTATACACGCTGGCTACACCTTTAGCGGTAACGGTTCTTGGATCCTACAGGTTAGCCAGCACCCGCCCGGGAAGACTAAGATGCCAATGCTAATATGATTTTAACTTCTGCTTTTCAGGATGGCACCTTCTCGGTGGCTGACTTTGCGGAGGCATTTCAAGAGCACGACGTACAAAGGGTGATACGTGCCTATGCGGACACCATAACGATGAATATACACTGTGCCGACGCTGGTCTATGGCACACATTGCCGGATAAGGTATTTTCGCGACAGTGTAAAATACGCATCAATCCGGTGGATGTCCTGGACACCAGTAGCGAGTCCATCAATGGCTTTATAGGTACCACTTAACGCCAAGTAAACTTCATATTCGAATGGAGCGCACTGACCTTTCATTTTTTACAGATTATCTGGCGCCAATGGTGGTGCCAACGTCACTGCGTGAGCTGCTGGAGACGTCGGATGTGGTGGGCAATATACGCTTCACACACCCAACGCTCTATGTGTTTCCCGGGGGCCAGGGCGATGCCGCTCTCTTTGGCATCAACGGCTTTAATATGCTAGGTAAATAATGAGTTATGAGAGATGAAAAGAAAAGATTCCTGAGTAATTTCTGTGATTTCGCAGTTGATGGCGGCTTCAATCGAAAGGCCTGCTTCTGGGACTTTGCACGGCATTTGGACCGGCTGGACGCGGTGCTGATGACGCGCCTGAACAACAGCAATGTGCAGGGACTTGGGGCTGTGGTGTCACGCAAGCGGGACTCTCATGTCTATCCACAGATTGGGCATTTCTTTGGCAATGTTCCCGATCGGAAGGGTGGACTGCCCAGTCCTGATGGCGACAAGGACCGCAATCCACTGCTGATCGATCTCTTTGAGCGCGGTCACGCCTTGGTCAACGATCTCAAGTCGCTTGACCTCAAGCCGCAGTGCTGCTATCGCAATCAAGAGCCTATAAATCTCTACCACAAGGTTGGTCACGGCACCCTGGATATGTATGTGATAAGTCCCTCACGGGACTCCAAAGAGGTCAAAGAGTTTCTACAAAAATGGAATTCCGGGGATCAGCGCCTCTTCACCGCGCGCGACACCAAGGAGTTTAACTTCCCCCTGCAGAATTTGGTATCCATTTGCGCGCTGCTTGTCTGGCAGCCGGCTAACCCGGATGATACCATTACGCGTATCCTCTTCCCGGGCAGCACACCCGACTTTAAGATCCAGGAGGGTCTGGAGAAGCTCAAGCATCTCGAGTTCATGAAGCACTCCACTTGCACGGCCAAGTCAATAGCCCCAGCTATACAGACAGTGACAAGTACCAGAAAGACACTCAAATCAGCTATTGAAGGCACGCCACCCAGCGCTAGCTACAAGCCCAGTAAATTTGGCCCAACTGCCATAGCAGCCGTGGCTGTGCAGCAGGATAACAAGGCAAAGGAAGCTAAGGAAGCAGCAGCAGCAGCAGCAGCGGCAGCAGCAGCAGCTGCCGCAGCAACCGCTGCAGCTGCAACTGCTTTGGAAACACCTGGCGATCAAGTGGAACGACCCACGCCGCTTTTGAGTGCTAAGGCGGACTCCATAGACACGGATGAGCCAGACGCTGAGCCTGAACCGGAGCTCGCTATCGACACCGGTGACGAGGGCGCGCCAGAGCCTTCCGTTCCCTCCACGGAGCCAGCTGAGCACGAGGACAACAAGGACACTGATGAGGAGAAAAAGGTGGAAGTGTTGATTGTCAAGCCACAGCCGGCAGCTGCGCCTGTCAAGGACGCAGTCGATGCAACCGCCACAGAAGCTAGCAGCAAGACAGCAAAGGCCGCCAAGGGCAAGCCGGACAAGCCTCGAGCGGAAGTCAAGCCAGTTGTACGCTCTAGAATTGACAGCAAGCCGCCAAAGTCTATGGACCGCAAGCTGGTGAAGCGTGAGGACAAAAAGAGCTCGCCTACTGCCACGCCAGCTGTAAGCCGAGCGCCAGCTACGCGCGATGTCAAGCCTAAGGTAATGACACGCACCACCAAGTCGAGTCCCAGCAGCACACCTGCCAAGAGCGCCAAGGAGGCCAACAACCGCAAGGTGCTTGAGTCCAAGCAACAGGCGACCGCGGCTCGGCAGAGCACAGCCAGCACACGTCGCACTGTTGGCACCATGGAGAAAAGGTCTGTGGCGGAGACGAAGACAACGCAGCAAGCAACGACGCAAGCAGCGCAGCGCAAGCCCATCTCCCGGAGGCCACGAGGGGTCTCTCCATCCAAGCGAGCTCCGGCCCCTGGCAGTCCCATTAAGTCAGCTAAGCCAAAACCTGATTTGAAGAAGTCACGACTGGATAAGGGTGGTACCACAGACTCCAGCTTGGTGTCCACACCGTCCGCAGATGAGGCGACAGCAGCCAAAAAGATGTTAGATCTAAGTGCCTCACAAGAGCTAGATGCTGAAAAGCAACGGGAATTGGATGACCTCAAAGAGGAACAGGAAGTTGTGCGAGAAATTGAGGCAGTTTTCAGTCGCGACGAGATGAAACGGCAACACTTGATCAAAGCGGAGCTGCGTGAGATGGCGAAGCAGGACAGCACAACGGAGGCCGAGGAAGAGGAGGAATATTTAATTATTGAAAAGGAAGAGGTAGAGCAGTATACAGAGGACTCAATTATTGAGCAAGAGCAGGAGAGCAGCATGACTAAGGAGGAAGAAATTCAAAAGCATCAGCGTGACTCGCAGGAGTCAGAAAAGAAGCGTAAGAAAAGTGCAGAGGAGGAAATCGAAGCCGCCATCGCAAAGGCTGAAGCCGAGGAGCGTAAGGCTCGTCTGGAGAGTAGTGAAGCAGCCAGGCATGAGCCGCACGAACAGTTACACAGCCCTGAGAAAACGGAAATCAAGGCTGAGGTTCAAGAGATCATATCCACTGCCAAGGACATTGTCAAGTCTCGCACTGAAGAACTGCCCCAGGCTAAGCATGCTGAAGAAGAATTCTCTTCCCCTACTCCTGACGACAAGCTCAGCAGCGCCAAGAAAACTTCTGATACTAAGGACGAGCTGATTGAAGCTCCTGAGCTGCCGCCCATTAACTTGCAAGAAAGTCTTCCAGAGGAAAAATTCTCAGCTACAATCGAATCCGGAGCTACCACAGCTCCTACCCTACCCGAAGATGAACGCATTCCATTGGACAAGATTAAGGAAGACTTGGTCATTGAGGAGAAATATGTTAAAGAAGAAACCAAGGAAATCGAATCGATTGTTGTGGCTACCGTTGCAGTGCCTGTCGCAGCAACGACCGCGGCCTCCATTATCACGCCAACCGAAACTAAAATAGTGGTTGCTACTGAGCCGCTTGCCGCTGGTATGGATTCTGCAGAGAGAGTCTTACCCAAGAAAATGACTTTTGAGGCACAGCAGAATCTAATGCGAGATGTTATAAAAACACCTGATGAGGTGGCAGACTTGCCCGTACATGAGGAAGCTGACCTTGGGCTATATGAGAAAGACACACATGAAGCAGGATCCAAGAGTATTTCACATAAAGAAGAAACAGCCAAAGAAGAAAAAGAAACCGAAGATGAAAAAGTTGTCAAAGATATTGATGTGGAAGAGGAAGCCGAACATATTCCTGAGCCTGAGATTATTGCGAAGACAGAGGACCCTACTAAGGTAGAATTTGACGGAAAAACTGCGGTCCCCATAATTCAGAAAACCGATATTATTAGTGAAACAGTTCCTGACAAGGACAACGTGGTGATAGCGCAGGAGCAACCAGGCGAAAAAATCGACAAGAAGCTTGCCAGTACACCAGATGAAAAAGAAACTAGCGATATAACTTCCGAAGATGAATTGCCAGCACATCCTATCCAACCTACAGCTGTACCGACAAAAGTAAAGGACCGTGAAGACACCGTATCTCTAGAAAGCCCTGCAACAATTGAAGAAGCCATTGAGGTTGAAGTGAAAATATCGAAGAAGGAACTCCATGACGTGCAAATAACGAGGAAGGAAGTCCATGAACAATCCAGCATAGGTGACCAAAAGAAAGAAGCAACTGGAGTGTCACCAACTATCAAACAAGCTGAAATGCAAATAACTAAGGCAGCAATAGAACTTAGCCAGCAAAAGAATTTACAAGATGAAGAGATTTCTCCTCTAAAAGACTTAGGGAAACTAGAGATCTCAAAATATGAAGTAATTTCTACAGAGCAGTCCCGTCGCGAATCCATTCAAGAAAGTACGAAGCCAGAAAACTTAAAAGGCGACAAGTCTTTACCAGCCTCTACGGAAGCATCAAGACCTGAATCAGTAGCCGAAAGTGTGAAGGGTGAGCATGAGAAGCCAGAAAGCGTTAAGGTTGAAAAGTCTGGAGAGCCTTCCAGGAGAGAGTCCGTTGCGGAAAGTATTAAACCCGACAGTTTGAAAGATGAAAAGTCTCTACCCGTCTCCAAAGAAACTTCCCGCCCTGGCTCTGCTGTTGAAAGTGTGAAAGAAGAGCACGAAAAGCCTGAAATTGTTAAGGACGATAAATCTGGAGAGCCTTCAAGACGAGAATCCATTGCGGAGAGTATTAAGCCCGAGAGTTTGAAGGACGAYAAATCRCTGCCTGTCTCCAAAGAACCTTCTCGCCCAAGCTCTGTTGTTGAGAGTGTAAAAGATGAGCATGAGAAACCTGAAATTGTTAAAGATGATAAATCTGGAGAGCCTTCGAGACGAGAATCCGTTGCGGAGAGTACTAAACCCGATAGCCTCAAAGA